GCTAAAGGTTTGTTTGTCATCCGGAAGCTTATTTATGCCAAACCCATTATTTTAAAATCAACACTGAGCAGTAATTGTTTGTATCTATCTGTGTGTAATACATTTTGGCTTGCAGTGCATTTGATAGTACTCAAAGAATGGCAAGAAGCATTGTTTTAATTAACTGCAAGTCTGGTATTTAAAAAAAAAAAAATTGTCAATGTGTAATACTGCATATCTTGAAATACACAATATTGTTTGGTAGCGCAAAGCAAGGAACAAAGTAAAAAGCTGAATCTTCCTATCAATGGTAAGTTAATAAACTGTGTCCCAGCTAAACCAGTTAAGGATTAACTGTACACCTCAGCTAAATGCAAGGCAGGCAGATGCATGTAACTTTTGCACAAACAGGAATGAAAATTCACTATGGAGAATTGACTTCCTGGGCCATAGACCTGATAGTCAATCCCAATGAGACCCTGCTTCCTGTCCAACTTCTGCTGCATCAGGCTGATTGGTGTCAGAGCTGACTGACGAATGACAGGCCGAGTGTTTGGTGGTGTGAGCCTTGCAGTGGCGCACTCACACTGTGGCTGCGCTAATCTTACAACAGTCCATTCAGAATATGCACAACCAAAAAATAACCAGTACTTCAGCAAATGGCTAAATACTCTCACTCTTCTCGATAGTGGTAGGCATTCAGATTTATAATGTAAAGCATTATTATTTTAATCTAAGGACATAAACAGGTCCACACTTCCTACTTTTGTGACATGTAAAAGGCCATAGGATCCGAGTAGTCACTGTTAATATTCACATCAATGGTGCTGTAAATCACATTGCAGCTATTTAAAGAGCAATACCATGTGACACTTGCAATGAAGAGCACCAGTTTTCCTGAATTTACTTGAGAATTTTAGAGTGTATGGTTTACCATTTAAGGGAGACTGCTTATGAAGAACTTACGTAAGCCTTATGCACAACCTATAGTTTTCAAAAAAAAATACAGAAAAAAATTGCAAGCAAAGTGTCAAAGTCCATGTATACTTAACAAATAGAGCACAGCACTAAAATTAATTAACATTCAATATACAATATTTTATTAGCCTTATAATTTAAGGTTAAATGCATTACTTAGCTATTTAAACAGCACATACTGCAGCATGTTATACTATATTATGTACATACTTTATTAAAAGCAATCAAATTATCACCTTAAGTTCACAAACAAATGTATACTTGACAAACCAAAACAGTGCTTTCATGTTAGAGATTAAACTGAAATTAATAATTTCCTTGAACAGCTTACTTTTCTAAAATAAAGGAAACAACAGCACATTATGGCCTATCGGAGCAACTGATTGCTGAGCAGCTATACACAGAGGGATGGATCCATGGATGATGGTATAAGGATATCTTGCATAAAAATACCTGAAATTCAGTTCTAAGCCCTGTCTTGTGAATCCACGTGGCAACAAAGAGATAAGAGGACAGGCCCCGAGTCACCTACCCCGCTGAGCTACTTGCACTGGCAGCCCCATGCTGAGCGACAGCTGCGGTTTTCAAGGTCAGCGTCAACAGAGAGCCAGTGTAGTGTACTCAGAGAGACAGTACAGTGTCCACAAAGGGACAGCAGTGTCCACAGAGGGACAGCATAGTGTACTCAGAGGGACAGCATAGTGTACTCAGAAAGACAGTACAGTGTCCACAGAGGGACAACATAGCGTACTCAGAGAGACAGTACAGTGTCCACAGAGGGACAACATAGTGTACTCAGAGAGACAGTACAGTGTCCACAGAGGGACAACATAGCGTACTCAGAGAGACAGTACAGTATCCACAGAGGGACAACATAGCGTACTCAGAGAGACAGTACAGTGTCCATAGAAGGACAGCATAGTGTCCACAGAGGGACAACATAGCATACTCAGAGAGACAGTACAGTGTCCACAGAGGGACAACATAGTGTACTCAGAGAGACAGTACAGTGTCCACAGAGGGACAACATAGTGTACTCAGAGAGACAGTACAGTGTCCACAGAGGGACAACATAGTGTACTCAGAGAGACAGTACAGTGTCCACAGAGGGACAACATAGCCTACTCAGAGAGACAGTACAGTGTCCACAGAGGGACAGCATTGTGTACTCAGACAACAGTACAGTGTATACAGAGGGATAGCATACTGTACTCAGAGGGACAGTACAGTGTCCATAGAGGCAGAGCATAGTGTACTCAGAGGCACAGTGCAGTGTTCGCAGAGGGACAACAGACATGTATCAGAGCAGTGCTTCAGGCTCAGTTACAGCCAGGCCACCTAAAACACATCATCATCATTATTATCATTATTGCATATATACTGCATATGTTATACAGCATTTATAAATATATGAAGCTTTGCTAATGTTTTACATAATTGCTACTTAGACCACGATTATTCTTTCCCCTTTACACACCAATACCATCATACATGTACATATGCATGCCTGCATATCACTAGGTAACCTTCCAGTCCATGACGACAGACTGGAGAATGTTTATCTGTACAAAGGATCACAATCAACAGCCCCCTGGGAACCAAATCTGCAGTTCTTCTTAGCCAGTACTGGAAATTAGAGGCCAAAGACAACAGCGTAAGGGACTGAAAACATCTAACGAAATATCTAGAAAGAAGTGATGACCATTCAGTTCATTGAACATGCTTCCTGTATTGCATGAATTGAAATGAGGGGAAAAGCTGCACGCTTCAGGCCTTTGAATGAGAAAAAATTATGGGTTGCAGAATGTTTACGGTTTTAAGCAGGCCAAAGTGAGTCACTGTGACTTAAGCGTCTCTGCCTCTATGGCTTCTCAGAAATGTTTCTCCCTGGTATCTGGCACAGCACTCTACACCCATATTGTGACAGACATTTCATCTGGCTATCTAGACTTTTGTTTTCTCTTGCCTCTTCTAACATTTAGTCTGTGATATCACTGGCCATCATGTAAAGTCTACTTGAATAGACTTCCATTTGAAGGAGGACAGGATGTGTAAACTACCATTTCAATAAAATAGACCTGGATTTCACTTAAGCACTGAGTTCTTGCTGTATGCTGATTGGTCAGCCTCCCATAATCATGCATGTGTCACTAATGTTAATGTGAAACAGCTGGATGAGTCTTTCAATCAAGGAAACCAGTCACAGCACAAAAATAACCAAACTATTTAGCCAAGCACTGGAGCCTTTCAGTTTTAAAGTAGCTCAAAGTGTCCTCCCTGATATCGATTACCTGGTCACACTAACTTCATTATGAATTTCACTTAATGGATTGTATTATAAACAAACAAACAAACAAATAAATAAATAAATAAACAGCATGGCCTCCAGTAGACCTTAAGCTATGAGCAGGTAAACTTATAGGGGCAGTTTCGCAGACAAGGATTAAGCCTAGTCTTAGACTTGCTTTGCTTTTCAGTGGTAAATCTCCATTGGTACTCAAATTTAGTCCAAGACTAGGGTTAATCCCTTTTGAGGAAACCAGGGGATAAAGTCTAGTTTATTTAAGCAGCAGCCAATGTGAGCTCATTAAGGACACTTTGAGTGGGTATGTGTCTGGCTTTTCACATTCCCCTTCATCAAAACATCTGCTGTCCAACCATCATCGTTCTCCGTGATGCCGAAACGGGACCAGCTGGGCATCAGCGAGCCTCTTGAGCGCACTCGTGTGAGCGACACGCTGGGGAGATGGAGAAGGCTGGATGGCAAAATGCACATTATCCAGTGTGTGATAGAGCTGAAATCGCTCTCATTTTATCTCAAGAGCCTGCAAATGCACAGAAACCTGTGAGCATGACATATGTGTATAAAAGCATGATAACTGTCATCCTTCATGTAGGCAGCTTATCACAGACACCTTGCAGTGTTAGAGTAACACACACTGAATACTGATACTTGACTGATGATGATGTTAAAAAGATGTTTCGCATGTTTGTTTTTTATAACGCCTTTGGCAAACATGTCATAAACAATAAATTGGTTGTAGAGTAGAAAACGACCCCATCCTGAACCAGATGATATTCTAATTTCCAGAACAGGAAGCTGTGGGGTGGAGCACTTTCTGGACAATGCATCCAAGCCCATCGTGACACAAGCAGCATTATCTTCATGTGTGGATTGGAAATCTCCATGCTAACAGTCCGCCGATGATTAGGAGAGGCCCCCGTAAACGACCAAATGGCGCCAGTCATCTGGTTTGCCTGCTTCACTCACACTGACCTGAAAACTGTATTGCATTAAACTAGCTCTGGATGGCTAACTGAGTGTAATATTTAAAAGGCGCTTAAGTGGGGTTAGAAAGAGCTGGAGATACTGAGCTGCCTGCTACCTGGGCATAAGCATGACGCCTACTGGTCGCATTGTCTGTTGCTCATTTCTCAGTACACGCGTGTTTTTTTTACTTTGTTTTAACCTCTTATTTTTGGACCTTATCCCCCCATTTTTTTTTCTCCAACAGGATCTATGTTTTACCAGGCCGCTGTTGTAAATAAGAAATTGTTATTAATAATTTGGCAGATTAAATCAAGGTTGAAATAAAATAAATCCATGGAGGGCCATGGAGGAGAAGGGTCACCCCAATCACACACCCGGAAGCTCCCTGCTCCCCAGGCATGAGCATGACGCCCCCAGGGGACGGAGAAGGAGGAGCAGCTGTTCTCAGTCCCTCAACCCAAAGCTCTCTGACCAGCGAAAAGGACGTCTTCACCACCATATCTGCACATTATCTGGCAGTCCCTGGGTAGTCTATGAGAGTGCAGGGTGTCAGAAGTGTGCATGGCCACATGCAATCAGCACACAGTCTTACAGGAATTATCTCAGGGATACCTTAAGTCTACAAAGAGCAGCCAGCCCAGTCAGACCGCAGCAGAACCGCCTCAGTAAAAGCATGCAGTCATATTAACATCAACTGTGTTACATAAAGTCTGATGCACAATGTAATTGCCCTGGAAAAGAAATGAACTGATGTATTGCTCCGGTGACCCACCTCAAGATGAACTGCTCCACCATGGACCCAGACCTCCGATTGACTTGAAAGGTCACTGTCTGTCCTTGTTTTACCGGTCTGGCTGGGGCCTGAATCTCGACATTGTCATCCAAAATGAGACTGTTCAGCTGGGGTGCTTCCTCTGGATTGTTCACGAGCTCCACCGAGCCAATCCTGTGGCTATATAGCGTAGCACCACCCTTTCTAGGGCCATTATTCCGAGCCCTTGGCAACTCCTTGGTCCCGCAGTTCTTATTGCTGCCCTCTAGTGGCTGAATGGTATAGAAGAGTTCTGCGGCACCCACCGCTGGTCCTGTCCCCTTTTTGCGACCAAGTGGGACGCTGAACCACCCAGACGGTAGCTCTAACTCCACCACACAGATCCCCAGGCTGCCTTCCAGACGGCAGCTACCTGCAGTTTCCCCAGCTTCCAGAAGGGCGGCAACACGCACACAGGGCAGCAGCTCAGGAGGAACAGGCTCTTCATCCCAGCTGCGCCCTGCCAAGTAGAATAGTACCTGCATCCGTGGCCATTTGACGGTGACACGAGGCGTCACTAGGTGTGCTTGTACCTTCCAATTGGCGGTGACAAGTCTGGGTCCAGGGAGCAATGGTGGGGTCGCCTGAAGCAGTTCCAGAGGCACCGACGCCTCTGCCGTCAAATTACCGTAACTACAGTTGACTGATGGAATGCTGCCGTCGGTCAGATGCACAAAGAAGGGCTCGGCACGGCTCTGCAGGCTGCCGTTCCGCAACACTTCCTGTCCCGCCTCCTTCAAGAAGAAGAATGACTCAGCATTCTGCACCTGGTAGGTCACGGGCAGATAGATGGGCAGGGCTGAGAACTTCTGCTGGCCGTCAGAGGAGCCACGGCACTCCATCCCTGTAACACAGAGAGACGAAAACACAAGACCTGAACATACGTGTCGCGCATGTCTACAGCACTACTGCAATGCAGGAGACATACAGGAATACAGTGTCCATCAAAAATTCCATGTAGGACACAGGCAGAATGACGGGATTTTACATTACATGCTCTACACTCAGCACATTCATATTTATTATGCTGTGAAGGAAAACATACACAAACAAGCATTTCTGGATAATCCCTTGTTAGTTGACGCTGAGCATTTCTATATACTCTATAAGAATGCAAATGTTCATAAACCTTCTGCAGTCCAAGGACATATAGGAACATTTAGTATGTCATTCAAAATGAGATTCAGTTTCTGCATTCACATGAGTAGAAAATGAACAACTGGCTGACGGTGACCTCTACAAGAGAAGGAGAAAGTGTGTCCAACACATTCAGTCACTTACGATGTAAATACTATATCGTACTACATTGTTGTTTAATGTGTCACCTAAGATTGATGAAGTACCTCTCCTCAGCAGCCAGACTTGACTCGGTAAACTGGTGAATTAAAAAGATGTTTAAATAGATGCTAGCATTTGTTTGAAATACCATTTTAATTGCTGGTGATTTCAGTTTAAAAAGTGTTACACTGAAAATATCCGTGAAACATTGAGACCAATCAATAAGAGCATCACCAAAAAGAACACTGCAACGCTAATCAAGGACCATGATCCATAGCTCGAATGAACAATTTATCTCAAGTGAAAAGGTCAACGAGCTAAAAAAAAATAAAAAATTAAAGCAAATCATTTTGCATCACAGCCCTAAATTGGTGGCGAAGCGTTAACTATTTCATTTGCAACTATGGCTCCAAGGAACTCGAACAGGAGGGTGATTCTGGGAAAATGCACAGTATTCATTTGCTTGGGCTTTATGTGCTGTCTGGAGGTGTACTATATATAGTGTCTGTTTCCCAACTATTTTGGCCCCCACTGCACCTGCGCACACAAACAGACAGACACACAAACACACAGGGACACAAACACACCGACACACATCCAGGCAGATACACACACACAAACACCTACACTCAAACACCTAGACAGAGAGACACACACACACACCCAGACACACACCCAGACAGACACGCACACACACCCAAACATACAGGCACACAACCACACACACAGAGACAGACAGGTAGATACACATCCAGACAGGCCGACAGACACACCCAGAAAGACACACACCCAGACAGGCAGACACACACCCACACAGACAGACACATTCATCGACACATAAACACACAGACACACATCCAGACAGACAGACACACACCTAGACAGACAGACACACACCCACACAGACAGACACATTCATCGACACATAAACACACAGACACACACCCAGACAGACAGACACATACATGGACACATAAACACACAGACACACTCCCAGACAGACAGACACACACCCAAACAGACAGACACACACCTAGACAGACAGACACACACCCAGACAGACAGACACACACCCAGACAGACAGACACACACCCAGACAGACCTACAGTACCAACACGCTTACAGACACAGCAAAGGGGAAACAACAGGCTGCCACAATGACACTGTGAAACACAGCAGCTCATTTATTTGTGTCGTTTCGGACGGGAGGCTCCCTTCTCAGTGCTTTGCAAGTGTGAAAATATAATGATGATTGGGAAACGGTGAGAGGGGAGCGAGGGGCGTGGCGGCCCGCGGGGAGTGAGCCGGGCTGAGCGAGTGGAGCCGCCGACCGCGATACGCATCTTCGCGCTCTCTCAAGGCTCAGGGCTTCTTCGGATTGCTCTAAACTGCGCTTGCTGCTTATCTTAATGCAGCCACTCGGTGAGGCTACGTCAAAGCCCACATCTATATCACCCATTTGGTGTGATGAGAAACACAATACTAAGCAAGTGCTCATGTGCCGACCTGCTTAATACGGCCGATTATTGCAATTTGATACAGCACCCCAGCGACTTATCGGGAATAAATCACATTCATTTAATTTGCCTAAGAGCCCGCTGGCGCTGTATAAATACCCACTCAACTAAAGTTTGTTTTGTGGTTCCGTGTCCTGTTCCACTTCGCTGCCGGTTCACCAACCACCCTGCCGGACTCCCGAGTGTCAGGTGAGGGCCGAGAGGTGGGGGCCACATTGATGCCCAGTCGGGTAAGGTGTCCAGACGAGGCTCACGTGGCAGCGGACACTGAAAGGACCATGCCGATCTGAATCACGGCTTTTGTACGCAGCTGAAACGAGATAGCAAATGTCCCTCTGGGGGCCATTTACAGAGCGGTACTGGAAGGGGCACGCTGATCCTGCTATCGAAGGGGGCCCTTTTGCCTCGGTAAAGTATCCTCGCATTTCCTGGGGGCTTGATAATAGAATAGAGCCACCTTAACGACGATTGCTTCCCATACTTGTGCTGTCCCAGGTACTGCTGGAGACCCAAGCTGCTGGGTCCACTGCCCCCCCATCATCGGCCCATTTCTGCACCTCACTTTACATTACATGCTCCAGCAGCCACTCTTCCGGGGCGATGGACATGATTTACGGCCCTCCCTGGACGTGCATGATGGGAGGAGCCAGACATCTTGCAGCGATCAGTGCAGATCCAGGAGCGACCTCCCACTCCACCCTTTACACACTGCAGACTGACACCCCAGTGCAGGGCCATGGACACGGTCCCAGGACCCCAGCAGAGAGGCAGGGCTGCCATCTCCAATGGAACCCTGGTAATGGGCAGCTCCCCTGAATCACATGGCCATTCATCAGCCCCCCTTACCATGCTTGTCACGAGTAACCTTTGACCAGGGGTAGGAAATTCAGGTCCAGAAAGTACAAATCCAGACCAAGGTTTTATTTCAACCAACCAGTTGAGTACTCTGTGACTGCGACTCTTTATACTCACCTGGTTAGTTGAAACAAAATCTTGGTCTGGATTTGTACTTTTTCGACCTGAACTTTTCACCTCTGCCTTTGACACCCCCCCGGCATGTGGTGTAATGAGAGCTTGAGGGCTGAGGCTAGGATGTAGACAGTGATTTATGGGGTGACACTGGCCCGTGTCAAGGGGGCAAAGTGTCACGGAGACATAACAACTTAAATAACCAATCAAATTCTAATGATCTAAAGTAATCATAGATTACAAGCCTTAAAATAATGAATAGCACAGAAGTCCTGTTCATCATCTACTGTATATGTAAAGTTATTTTTAAATTAAATAAGTGTGTAATGCCCACTCGTGTGGTGTTGGTCATCAAATTTGGATAAACAGTGTTACATAATCTCTGTGGCAAACCTTAACAACAATAGAAATAAACATACCTTATGCAACAAAGTAACACAAAGTGAAATGTAAATAGAATACTATAGATCCATAATTAAATAGACATACATTTTTGAATAATACACAAATACTGCATCCAAATCTATTTCTTCACAGACTTTTCTGTATCAAAACATCATTCTGAGTTACAGTTACAGCCAGAGAAGCTAAATGGTATGATTTATATTTACTCATCTTTTAAGCACTAATCCTGGAAAAGGTCATGGTGGGGGGGGGCTGGAGCTTAGCCCAGGTAGCATGAGGCTGGGGACCAGACAACCAACCCTGGGGTGGTGAATCATTAACTTAATATTAAAAATTCATATTAAAGTTATCAAATCACTAATAAAAAAATGCTTCCAGGCAAAGGCAGCAATAAACACAAATAGATACAGGAACAGAAACCAGACCAATCTCTATGTATCAATGTGACAAATGTAAGGTCTCACTGGATTTATATGTCCATCAGACCGCAAATGCTGGGACTCCATCCTCTTTCTTTGATACCCAGGAGAGCATTATTTTGCTTTTACATCGCCCACCTATCTGGAATTGTGCCTTTGCTTTGTAGCCACTTCTGTCAGATGACTTCTTTCCATAGATCTGTGGGGAGCTTTCTGTAATTGCATTCTGTAACAACCTTCTCACATGTGCGTATCAGCAAAGTCTTTAATGAACGTAAATTAAATAACCTGAAGCTTGGTCCAGACTCCGGCACTCTTAGCCTGCAATATTGATCTCGGTGCTCAAGATGTCACCTCCACCTACGGACTGTGGCAATTTTTCAAGAAGGTCCAGATCCAAAACACAAAGAGATGGTCATATGCCAGCTGGGCAGAGAAATGGCACCTTTACTTGCCAAGACGAAAAAACGCTGTGCTGTATCAACTGGCAGGCGAAGAGGCTTTATGGGCCGATTTGAGCGCCCACGCGATGTGCACAGCAACACCATGCATTCAAAGAACCACGCAGAGGTGGAGAACCCCAGATCACCCACTGCATCGCAAAACCTCACCACTGGTGGCCCAGCAGCTCGAACATACCTAACAAATCAAGCAACCTACACGGGAGCAGCCAGTGAGAGCCCCGGCTGACGGCCGCTCCCTGCCCCCTGCCTCAGCTCAGACGCCAACTCCGCTCTGCTGCCAGAGGCTTTCTGGGCCCAGCTGGCATACGATATGACCCAGGTTGGGCCCTGGGACCCATCACAGCCGCCCTGACTACTGCACACAGAACCAACATAAATGTCCCTCTAAAAGCCATTCAGACAAATCCTCAGAAAACAGGAGTGCTACTTTCCCCAAGGTGCCTGAAATCTTTGACCTCTGTTACCTGCACACCCCCCTCCCCCACAGGAAGGGATCTCCCTTATTGGCTGTTTGTGCGGTTCACCCTCTCATTACCGCCGCAGCCTCCCGCTCCATCGTGAAGATGGAGGCACGGGGTGTTTTAATTGGCACCTTCTTCAGAGGCTGGGATGCACTGTCTCCACATAACCCTTGGCAGGTGTTGACAGCCCAATGTACAAACCTGTCACAGGCGGAATAGCGCAGAAAATAAAGTAAATTAAATTGCTGAGATAAAAAAGCGTATAACTGCTGCTAAGAATGAACTGGGAAAGAGGCACGGAGAAATGAAACAGCTACAGAAGGAGACATG